TGCCTCTTTTCCTTCAGGGAGTTGAGGGGCAGAAGCCCTCCCTTTCCCAGAATGCACTGTGGCACCGTCCTACAGAAGGGCTGCGGCAGAGATGAATGTGCACTGTTCCCTTCTTTATGTTAGGGCCTGCCTCAGGGAAAGTGCTTGTTGCTGCTAATCTGTAACAGGTGGTAGGAACGCCAGGGAAAACAAGACCTCCTCTGTATGGCAGTGAATAAAAGAAATTCAGGTGCTAAAGGAGCAAAACTGGTGTGAAAGGAGCGGCCTCAGAGGGAGGGAATAGTGGACCCGTCTCGCTCTTCCTCCCCCAGCCCGTCCCTCACCACAATTGTTTTCCACCTTCTTCCAGTACTACTTGAAATTCCCTTAGCAGGAGGCAAAGCCTCTCTTGCCACACTAAATATAAATACAGATTAAGCTAAAATGCAATATAGAATAGGCTCCCAGAAAGATGGAGAAGTACTTTTCCCCATTCCTACCATGATATGCAACTTAATTGTGCAACCTGGACATAATACATAAAGATCAAATGACTCTAAAAGATAGGGAGAAGATGAGCAAGGGGCCTCAAGACCCAAGAAACAGCACAGTGGTGAGTTCCTGGGTTTTCTTTTTGTCTCATATATCCCAGACTTATTGGTGGAAAAGCTGGCAATTCAGAAACACCACAGGTACAGACCTAAGAAGTCCCAACAAAAGCCTGCTCTCTCTAACCAAAGGACAAGAAAAGAGACAGCCTAGCAAGGCAGCAAACTTCAGAAAAGAACTGCTTTACTCCAGGTAAACAGCTCAAAAACAAACAAACACACACCCCATGGTCCCACCCCACCCCCACCCCCAAAGGCTGAGTCAGGAGCTGAGACTTCCACACTGGTGAGACCCCCCCCCGGCCAGGTTGGCATCAGGGAAGGCTGAGTGGGGAGGTAGAACATCCATCCCAGCCACCCCCTCCCATGTCAGCACACCTGAACTCCTACTTCCACCTGGCAGTGTCAAGGCAACCTTTCCCTTCCCTCTCTTCACCCTACCCCTGCAATGATAAAGGAGGAAGCCTAGCGGAGAGTCAGGACTTTCACTACCACCCAAGTGGTGGTGAGGCCACCTCCTCCAAATACCACTGGCAGCCTCCTGGGGAGCAGTAAGGAAGCACTCTTGCCTCTCCCACCCTGAATGGCCCAGTAGGGAGCGAGCACTCCCACCCCCACTCAGCAGTAACAAGGAGGCAGCATCCCCCCCCCACCCCTGTAACGGAGGCCAAGTAGAAAGCCTGGGCTTCTACCTTACCTGGTAGGAACAAGCTGGCACCCCCTCCTCCCTCCGCTGAAGCAGTGTTGGTACAGACCCAAAAGAGATTTAAATAAGATCCAGAGTCTCATAACAGAAAACTAAAAATGACTACAATTCAAAAGTCACTCATTGTACCAAGAACCAGGAAGATCTCAATTTGAGTGAGATAAAAACATTCAATAGATGGCCACATTAAGATGACACAGATGTTAGGCTTCTTGGACTAGGATTTTATTTTTTATTATTTTTTTAAGATTTTATTTATTTCTTTGGCAGAGGGAGAAGCAGGCTCCCCACTGAGCATGGAGCCCGATGCGGGACTCAATCCCAGAACTCTGGGATCATGACCTGAGCCGAAGGCAGACACTTAACTGACCGAGCCACCCAGGCGTCCCTTGGACTAGGATTCTAAAACAGCCATCCTAAGAATGCTTTGACAAGCAATTACAAACATTTTTAAAACAAATGCAAAAAGAGAAAGTTTCAGTAAAGAAATAGAAGATATAAAGAAGAACCAAATGGAAACTTTAGGGCTGAAAATAAAATAAATGAATTAAAAACTCAATGGATGGGCTCAGCAGAATGGAGGGGACCAAGGAAAGAATCAGTGGATTTAAAGATAAAAAAATAGAAATTACCCACTCTAAACAACAGAAAAAAATACAATGAAGAAAATGAACAGCATTTCAGAAACCCATTAGACTCTAAGAAAGATCTAACATCCATGTGATTGGAGTCCCAGAAAAAGAAAAGAAGGCTGGGCAGAAAAAGTATTCAAAGAATAATGAAAGAATTCAAGAGGCTGAGCAAACCTCAAACAAGATAAACCTAAAGAAATCCACTCCAAGAAACATCATAACTAAGAAAACTAAAGTCAAGGGCGCCTGGGTGGCTCAGTCGTTAAGCGTCTGCCTTCGGCTCAGGTCATGATCCCAGGGTCCTGGGATCGAGTCCAACATCGGGCTCCCTGCTCGGCAAGAAGCCTGCTTCTCCCTCTCCCATTCCCCCTGCTTGTGTTCCTGCTCTC